GGATACTTCTGGAAAGGAGTTTCCTAAGTTGTAACTGTAGTCTGCAGCATGTTGCAGGTGGACTACTTTACACTTTGAAGTGTTAAAGGCAAGTTAGTTATCGTTTGCCCAACTTCGAAGTCCAGTCAGAACCTCCTGAAATGCCAGTATATCCTCCCGGTTGCATATCTCTCTCCGAGGTTTCACATCATCAGCAAAAAGTTATAAGTCTGACGACAGCTGTTCTGGAATATCATTTGTATAAATCAGGAAAAGAATAGGTTCTGGTAATGAACCCTGGAGGACCCCACTATGGCATTTCATAGCCTGTAAGAAAGTGAAGTTAACTCTGACTTCGAAATTTCGATTTTTTAGATATGATGTGTTCCAACAACTTAGTGGTAATTTGGTGCCCAATCGTTTGAGTTTATTGAAAAGACATATATTGTCGGCTCTATCAAAAGCTTTTGAAAAGTCAAAGTGAACAGCGACCACCTTTCTCTTGCCATCCAGGATGGTCGACCATCTGTCGACTACAGTCAGCAGGTTGCATATACAAGAATGATTCTCCCTGAAACCATGCTGTTGGTGTGAAAAGAAATTTAAGGATAATAAACAGTCGTGTATACCGTCACATATAATGAACTACATAATTTTCGAAGGTATAGGGAGAAGAGCCACCGGTCGGTAGCTTGAAAGTTCGCTGCGTGGACCTCCTTTGAAAATTGGTGTGATGTCAGTAGAAGGCCACGCTCAAGATGCTCATGCTCTAATGAATAAAATTTCATTGATTTAAGACGCTCTTTACGAGAATTGAACTTGAATCCTCGAAGTGATTTTGTGACTCGTCCATACATGTACTTCACAGTATATTTATCCAAGTGAATTGAGTAGAACCACATTATTTTATACTCCTTTCTTCCGCTAATTACTTGCTTGATGTAATGTACATTGAGATTAACTTTCACCTTAAGAAACGGTTAGGACAACGATTGGTGTACGGAATTATAGTTTACATCGATCAGTGTCTCTGAACCAACTCAATAACAATCTGGAGGAAATCCTGGTGATAAACTGACACATCGAGAATTACATCGTATGAAGAGCTATACCTCCGTTGAACTAAATAAAATCTATCTCATCATGCTGATAGATGTGACTTTTGTTCTGGTTAAATAGTTAGTATGTAGTCCTAGGTAGACGAAGGATGGAACTCTTCACTCCAGTCTTTAAAAAAAAAGAAACAGTTCGTCAAAACCCTTTACAGTGACTGTTCTTCCATTAGCCACTAGCGTTGTGGAAATTTTGATTCCCTTGCACCGAAATAGCACGGGTTAATGATCCGTCACGAAGGCAATCATGATTTACTGACTGAGACGGATGGAACTCCTGTGAGTGAAGTGACGCAGAACACCAAAATGTCGCTCAATAAAACACCAAAAACATACGAAAGTCGCCCAGACAGAGGGATTTGCGAACCAAGCATAACAAGCACCGACGTTTATCAAAAATCTACTGTTTTGATGTTAAGGTGGGAATCACACACATCGGGAAACATAGATAAACAGAACTGAATAATTCGGTCTCATTGTTAATTTCCAATTTGACGATATGAAACAGAAGGATAAAATCAAAAACGGTATAATATTTTAGGAATCGGGCATTAAAATACGAAGCATGACAGTTTTCAGTTTTTCCAGAAATACAAATACAAAACTGGTAGGAAGCATAGACAGTAGTGTTTTATGACAAAATAATCAGTATGAAAAAATGAAAATAGGTAGACAGACAGCTGGTCAAATTTCCTGCTACAATCCGTTACATATTAAAAAGGTTTGAAGACAATGAGCCGATTAATAATGTGAAACGTTGCAGCAGGCTTATCTTGTGGCACCATATGTCCTGCACCCCGAACAGTGGTATTGACCGAATTGGATATATTGGCTGATAACACGTTCCAATATGCGCCGATCTGTTTAGTACCATCTTTCTCAATATATAAATAAGGTGAACGGGAGATATAGTCTGGAGGTTCGTAATACATTCGTAATAATGATAAAGAAATCTAGTTGTTTGGATGATTACTAAGCACAAATTTACATACTTTTCCTCGAGCACACTCTAAAGGGACTAGTATGGAACTGTTTTGCTGCCCGGACATACTTTGCTTCGAGCCATGCTCTGTAAGAGCTAGTAAAACAGTTTCGCCTCCTGAACTGGGAAGTGGGTGGGGCAGGGTTCGGACTCAAGATATTGTGGTTAAAATACTAAGCTACTCCAGCAGAAAAGACCATCAAATTGGGCAGAGTGGAGTCCCATTTCACTTTCATGCATAAGAACATCAGTAAACGGTCAAGTGTGACGATGTATGATCGTCTATATCAAAAATATACGGGGATAATTATGGGTACACGTTCGACTGAGACAATGTTGAAGTCATTCAACAAAGACTGCACCAATTTTACAGAATGTTTAGTGGCAGTGATCATCAGTCAACAAACACAGTCCAAAACAATTGATTTACTCACCAATTAGAAAAACCTCATACAATCGTAAGATCGGGAAATCGGTGAAAATAGGAAGGCAATCAAAATAAATATGTAAGCAATGTAAGGAATAGCGTCAATGAAATTACAGACAGTTACATTGAACTGTTACAATCTGCTGTCTTATGTGAATATTTGTACAGTTGAATACACGAGTCGATGTGGGCTTGACCATCATAGAAAACCTTGAAGTCTTGGAAAGCCATTTCATTCCGGCATTGGACTCTTTAGCAGTGCGCATCAACGAATTCGCAGGTGGGACTCAAACACAGGATCCAAGGCTTTGTACACCAACATTTAACACGTCCAGATCATTTAGCCAGCATTCGTGTCGAGTGTGAGACAGTTAGTCACCTCAGATTATAGATGAAGTGTTGAGAAAGATCATGGAACGACTATACAACTAATAACACCACTAGTGGTAGCAATTTGAAATACCGAATCAGTGGCTGTCACTTCCTCACAAATGTCCATTTGTCCTGGTCTTTATTTGTGCCAGAATTTGTGTACTCATTGAACGAATAAATAGTTGTTCAGCTACACATCTTAATTATCCATTTTGTAACTGTAACTGAAACTGTAGGTCAATCAGAAGTTGATTTGATGACAAATGTAGATGATCGGTTTACAAATGCCTTTCATTTCTAAGGGACCTAATATGGTTACTCTGAGTGGAGATAAATTGGACGCAATGATATCAATTTTATTGATAATCCTAACGTCTCTAAACGCCACTACAAAAACACTGGAGAGTAAAGCTGTTCAATGTGTAGCAACCACATTGTGTGTAGTGTGGTGGTGATCATCTCTGTGGGATGAATTCCGCAAACAATTATTCTATGCATATTTTTTTCTTATTTAATGTGAACAATAAGTTGATTGTTATCACTAATAGAGTTTATCCGTTGGTCAACATACCGTTATGTTTAAATTAACCACAAAACTATTCATCGCCAGTATTATTACATGTCATATCAATGCCACTGTTGTATATTACAACATTAACCTACAATCGAAAAGAAAGAATGTTTCCCGCTTATCATTAAATCATCAAATATTGTTGCTTTGTTTGTTTATCTAGGTTGTCTTGTGTAATTGCTAACTGTTGTCTATAACCATCCTTATATAATGTACGGACAGTTTATTCGCTTACGCTTTCTTTCGTCATTCTCTCCAGTGATGCTGCTCTGCATCCTTTATCAGTAAACATAGTATCTTCTAACTAAACATTACACCACGACAGTGGTTCACATACTTTTCTTCACTTCAATTATATGTAAGAACATGAAGCAACTACCATAGAACTAATTCAATAAATACATTCAAAGATGAAAAACCTATTTTATAGAAGCCTTATTGATTGTAAACATTTGCAAATGAACACGAATGTCAGAAAATTTCTGTTTACAACGGTTTATACAAACATTTATTCAATATTCACAAGTTAAATGATTATTAAAATGAAAATCAGTCTCCCATGTTGAGATTTGTTTAAAGGTATCAAAGATGTCAGTAAATGAATTTGATAATTAGGAAGAATGCATAAAGTTTTAAAGAATGCGCACTTGTGAAGTAGTTGTCTTTATACAATACTGAGATTAATTATGTTCGTCAAATACTTCGTTCTACAATTTATCATGCTGACATCAAATGTGAACTCCATCACAGTTTAGATAAATAGTTCGACATTTCATTGAAAACTTGGATGGAGTAAAAGAAGAAGAGAAGAAGCATGTTTTACGAATGAGGATGATAATTCTCTTGTGTAATCTTCAGTAAAAGGTCAAATTACTTAAAACGCAGGATGGAGATCGGAGTTAGAGGAAGAATAACGTTTTACAATTGATTGATCACAGTGTAGCGACCAGTGTCATGTATGCCTGATTCTTAATAAATCCGATTGAATCCTGTAGATCAAGTTATAATGTGGCTATTAGTCAAAATTTTCGTGATAAATCAGCATCAATACCATACGTTCGTTTGTGGATGCGCACAACTGATGGGTCCCGTTCTAAGACGAAATCGCCATTCAGTGCATCCAGGTTTTCAATGATGTTCTAACATTAACCCATTCATGATAACATTCAAAACTCATTCTATCGTTTGTTGTTTTTTGATGCAACCTTTCTAACTACTCATAAGTAGGATAAGTGTTTTACATAGATTGTTAAATTTTATGGGCTTTGTCGGGTAGTGAGCGTAGACAATAGGTGAAAACCAGGAAACACTGGATTCTTCAGCAGCTAGTATAAATGACCGCATCAAATTCTGAATCACAGATCTTCAAGTTTCGTAGTGATACTAAATACTCTGACTGGTTTATCACATTACTGTTTGCAGATGTCGGACGTTTGGATATAGCCAGTAAGAAACCCTGGATCTGAACCTCTTTCCAGTTAACTTTCATAAGCAAGGCATACCTGCAATCTTAAAAGAGTTGGTTTTTTGAAGGAGTTCAAACGCGCGTAATCTATATCATAAATGTCCTAATAGTTCAGTCCATGATGATGATGATGATGACGATGATGATGATGATGATGATGATGATGATGATGATGATGATGATGATGATGATGATGATGATGATGATGATGATGATGATGATGATGATGATGATGATGATGATGATGATGATGATGATGATGATGATGATGATGATGATGATGATGATGATGATGATGATGATGATGATGATGATGATGATGATGATGATGATGATGATGATGATGATGATGATGATGATGATGATGATGATGATGATGATGATGATGATGATGATGATGATGATGATGATGATGATGATGATGATGATGATGATGATGATGATGATGATGATGATGATGATGATGATGATGATGATGATGATGATGATGATGATGATGATGATGATGATGATGATGATGATGATGATGATGATGATGATGATGATGATGATGATGATGATGATGATGATGATGATGATGATGATGATGATGATGATGATGATGATGATGATGATGATGATGATGATGATGATGATGATGATGATGATGATGATGATGATGATGATGATGATGATGATGATGATGATGATGATGATGATGATGATGATGATGATGATGATGATGATGATGATGATGATGATGATGATGATGATGATGATGATGATGATGATGATGATGATGATGATGATGATGATGATGATGATGATGATGATGATGATGATGATGATGATGATGATGATGATGATGATGATGATGATGATGATGATGATGATGATGATGATGATGATGATGATGATGATGATGATGATGATGATGATGATGATGATGATGATGATGATGATGATGATGATGATGATGATGATGATGATGATGATGATGATGATGATGATGATGATGATGATGATGATGATGATGATGATGATGATGATGATGATGATGATGATGATGATGATGATGATGATGATGATGATGATGATGATGATGATGATGATGATGATGATGATGATGATGATGATGATGATGATGATGATGATGATGATGATGATGATGATGATGATGATGATGATGATGATGATGATGATGATGATGATGATGATGATGATGATGATGATGATGATGATGATGATGATGATGATGATGATGATGATGATGATGATGATGATGATGATGATGATGATGATGATGATGATGATGATGATGATGATGATGATGATGATGATGATGATGATGATGATGATGATGATGATGATGATGATGATGATGATGATGATGATGATGATGATGATGATGATGATGATGATGATGATGATGATGATGATGATGATGATGATGATGATGATGATGATGATGATGATGATGATGATGATGATGATGATGATGATGTAATGCATCGATAATCTGAATTGATTAATTTATACGAATCCATACTCGTTGAATGTTTAAATGATGATTTTGTTCAATATCATTTAATTGATTGTTTGAATTTTCATAGAACAACATATTCACTTGAATTGATTTTGAAAGAACAAAAGAATAAAAAAGAAAAAGAGGAAAAGCAACAAACCAAAAGAATGAACTAATAAGAATATGAAGTGAAATCAAAGTAATGACTGATTATTGTTGGATAGTAAATAGTTTAGTCAGTTTGAAAGTTATCATTGTGATGTTGGGGAGATTGGTAAACTATTGATTGGGATCATGAATGGATGAATATTAGACCACTGTTGAGAACCTGGAAGCATGGCTGTCTTGTCCTAGTTTGGGACACACCAGCAGCGCTCATCAACAATCGTGCTCTCAGGATTCAAACTCAGGACTTTTGATCTCATGCGCAAATGCTTAACCACTGAGCCGGTCAGCATCCAGTGGTGTTAATGTCTATCTTCGCCCAATCTACAATATTGTGCGACTGTCAACCAACACAGCACACACGGTTGAACTCCACTGGTCACGGCTTCTCACCTTGGTGCCAGTCACTAGCGAGTATCTGATGAGGAGTCTATTACTAGAAAGAAACGACTGTCCTGATCATCTGGTATTTTCACGACTTTATGAGCATTTAGCACAGTATTTTCTTGCTGTGAGCCGGACAATTTACCAGTATTACGTTTTCTATCTGGTATACAGGGATTTGAAACCTCCACGGAATATGCTTCTGAAATGTCCGTTACTGCACCATTATCTGTATCATAAATAGATTCCTTATTTTCTGGCTGAGTGAAAAGTCTGCCCAAAACTGTTTCAAATAGTTGTTGTTGCAAGGCTAACATCTGCTGGTTCTGTTGTTGTTGGAAGGCTAACATCTGCTGGTGCTGTAGCTGTAGTATTAACTGCACCTGTTCTAAAGAAATGGACATTTTTTTTCTGCCAATAATAATATTGACTTCAAAAATAACCGGCAATTTATTACAGCTAATTTATTTCCAAAATCTGAGTCACCACTTGTATTATTATTATTTCTTTGATGCCAAAATCCCCGTCGCCAATTGTTATGACCTTGAAGTTGAGGGTTCAAAACTTTTCTCCACCCCGTCGCCAATTGTTATGACCTTGAATGTCTGACTTTTCTATCACGCGATTTATCTACCAATCCGAATACGACTTATACAAATCTTCACACTAGGCCAACCAATGACGTTCAACCGGTGTGGGCAGTTTAGCGTCCTTATTGGTCCTATGTCCTACGAGCCCTCCCACTTGAGTCCAGAACACAATACCAGCCTCCGAATCAGAGCAGATCGTTTATTTCCGGCATACTTGGTATATATATCAATCATACAGACCGCAACGTACCATAAAATAGGAAATAATATTTGTACACAAATAAGCCCAAAAAGTGGCTGTGAATGTGGGAGGCAGTAGGTAATAAACTGAACATAACTTAAGAACCGTAAATCGTACAATAATAAATTATAGGCCAAAATAAAGCTTGTCATAAGAGGGATACAAATATACATAATGTAATTGTTGAATAGTTATACAATAAGAATATTTATAGGATATTAGTCCATGAATAGTCCTCGGAAGTTACCTGTAATTTAATCTCCACTCGGATATAACAAACGTGTCAAGAGGTTCTGAGCCTAACGAAACACCATCGTAAGGAGTGGATCTCTATAGAAACTCTGGACAAGATCAAATAAAGGAAGAACAAGAAGGCAGCAATTAACGACAGCCGAACATGAGCAGAGAAAGTCCAAGCACAAGCTGAATACACAGAAGCAAACAAGCAAGTGAAGAGGAGCATTAGAACCGACAAGAAGAAGTACGTGGAAGAACTAGCAACGACGGTGTAAAAAGCAGCAAGAGAAGGAATTATGAAACAGCTTTACGATACAACGAAGAAACTACCAGGGAAATACAGTAAACCAGAGAGACCGATCAAAGACAAAGAAGGCAAGCTAATCACTGAAATTCAACAACAGCTGGACAGATAGGTAGAATACTTCGAGGAACTTCTGAATAGGCCGGCTCCAATGAATCCACCGGACATCGAAGCAGCACACACAGATCTTTCCATAGACGTCAACCCACCAACGAAGAAAGGAACTCGTTACTATACATCAACTTCATTGGTTATGAAAAGGCATTTGACAGTGTGGATAGGAGGACGTTATGTAAACTTCCTCGACACTACAGAGTTGCTGAGAAGATTGTCAATATTATCTGGAACTCGTGCGACGGACTACAGTGCAAGATCGTGCATGGAGGACCGCTTACAGATGCATTCCAAGTAAGGACCGGAGTCAGACAAGGCTGTTTACTCTCTCCCTCCCTCTTCCTTCTTGTGGTCGGCTGGATTATGAGGTCCTCGACATCTGAGGGAAAACACGGAATACAATGGACAGCTCAGAATCAATTAGACGACTCGGACTTCGCAGATGACCTGGCCTTCCTATCGCATACACATGAACAAATGCAGATAAAGACAGCCAGTGTAGCAGCAGTCTCTGCATCAGTAGGCCTCAGTATACACAAGGGGAAAACCAAGGTCCTCAAATTCAAAGCGGAGAACAGCAATCCAATCACACTTGATGGCGAAACTCTGGAAGATGTAGAGTCCTTCACATTCGTGTGAAGCATCATCGATGAACAAGGAGGTTCAGATGCAGACGTAAAGGCTGGGATTGGCAATGCAAGGACAGCATTCCTACAATTGAAGAACATATGGAACTCAAAACAACTTTCAACCAATATCAATACGTCAAGGCAGCTCTACTGTAGGTAGCTGAAACTTGGAGAACAACAACGACCATCAAGAAGGTACAAATATTCATAAATAGCTGTCTTCGCAAGATACTCAACATCCATTTGCAGGATATCATCAGCAACAGCCTTCTCTGGGATAGAACAAGTCAGCTTCCAGCTGAAGATTAAATTTGGAAACGACGATGGAAATGGATAGGACATACATTACGCAAATCGTCAAACTGCATCACGAGACAAGCCCCAAATTGGAATCCTGAAGGGAAGTGGAAAAGACGGAGGCCTAAGAACACATTACGTCGGGAAATAAAAGCAGTTATGAAAAGGATGAATTACAACTGGACAGAGCTAGAAAGGATTGGCCAGGACAGGGTTGGATGGAGGATGCTGATGAGCGGCCTATTCTCCTTCACGAGGAGTAACAGGCGTAAGTAAGTAAATAAGTAAGTACGTTCGGCAGCTCCTGTCGATCTACCCCTTGAAAATTCTTTACGTGTTTACATCTTTCTTGATTCACCCATTATTCTGCCACAATTCATAATAATTCTTTTTTGTCAAAATTACCTTGACCATACCCCTCTTATTACATATTGTATTCACACAACATTATCACTATTATCACCACTATTATTATTATTATTATGTCGTTAAAACCTTGGCACTTTACTACAAATCATTCTGACCCTCATTAAGTGACCTTGCTAATTTACAAATCACACCATCTTGAAGAATTTTTATAGTGACAGGTAAGAACCCTCACCGTTTTTCACATATAACATTGTGGAATTCATTAATGCATGCCTTAATTTGGTCTTTGCAAAATATCACAATAATTATGGACTTATGGATTGTTGTGTCTGATGATGAAGGTATTAAAGAAACCATTGTATGCTTAAATATCCTTATGTTTGAATATTCTATAGATATTTTGAAACTGTTAGTCTAAGCGTGATAGCCAACCATCGATTCCTCTATTTTATCATGTCATTCTCGTTTTAAAAGTGTTATATGTGTAAAACGGTGCTTTCAACTCAACAAACCATAATGAGGGATAATAGAGATTAAAGTTATTTAATGGTTGAATTCGTGAGTCGATGTAATCTAGACCTCCATTGGAAACCTGGAAGCACTAGACGGTCATTTCGTCCTAGTATTGGACTTTTCAACATATACTCGCTAGTGACTGGCTCCAAGATTGATTTTGTCGAGTTACAGTGAGCGAAGATAGACATTAACACCAATGGATTCTGACCGGCTCAGTGGTCTATAGGTTAAGCATTGACGCATGAGATCAAAAGTCCTGAGTTTGAATCCTAAGAGCACGATTGTTGATGAGCGCTGCTGGTGAGTCCCATACTAGGACAAGACGGCCATCCGATGCTTCCAGGTTCTCAACAGTGGTCTAATATTCATCCATTCATGATCCCAATCAAAAGTTTACCGATCTCCCCAACATCACAATGATAACTTTCAAACTGACTAAACTATTTACAATCCAACAATAATCAGTCATTACTTTGACTTCACTTCATATTCTTATTAGATCATTCTTTTGGTTTGTTGCTGTTCCTCTTTTTCTTTTTTATTCCTTTGTTCTTTCAAAATCAATTCAAGTGAATATGTTGTTTTATGAAAATTCAAACAATCAATTAAATGATATTGAACAAAATCATCATTTAAACATTCAACGAGTATGGATTCGTATAAATTAATCAATTCAGATTATCGATGCATTACATCATCATCATCATCATCATCATCATCATCATCATCATCATCATGGACTAAACTATTAGGACATTTATGATATAGATTACGCGCGTTTGAACTCCTTCAAAAAACCAACTCTCTTAAGATTGCAGGTATGCCTTGCTTATGAAAGTTAACTGGAAAGAGGTTCAGATCCAGGGTTTCTTACTGGCTATATCCAAACATCCGACATCTGCAAACAGTAGTGTGATAAACCAGTCAGAGTATTTAGTATCACTATGAAACTTGAAGATCTGTGATTCAGAATTTTGTGGGGTCATTTATACTAGCTGCTGAAAAATCCAGTGTTTCCTGGTTTTCACCTATTGTCTACGCTCACTACCCGACAAAGCCCATAAAATTCAACGATCTTTGTAAGACACTTATCCTACTTATGAGTAGTTAGAAACGTTGCATCAAAAAACAACAAACGATAGAATGAGTTTTGAATGTTATCATGAATGGGTTAAT